GGGAACCACTGGTCTAAATACACTCCTGCCACCATGGCTGGGCTGCTGCTGGAGGTGCAATGCCATTGGGCAGGTGCAGGCCCAGCTGGGGGTGGTGGGTGGGGTTGGCTAAAGTGGCCTCGGGCTGCAGAGCGGAGGGGGGCGGGCATTCTAGCAGCTCCTGTCCAGAGGACCTGCTATCCTTGCAGAAACCTGAGCTGCTCCCAGAGGGGGGCGGGGGGGGGGGAGTGGAGCTCTGAAACATCAGCCTCCTGGTCTGACTTCTGGCAGGGCAGCCCCAACCAGCTGAGTCACCTCTAACATGACCCAGTCTCATCTGGGCATCTCTGACATGGGCAGCGATAGGACTTTAGGGAGAGCTCCACTAACATCTGGCCCAGCTGGCAGGCTCCTGAGGGTTTGGGTCCTGCTCACCCATCTCCAGGCTCATCGCCAGTCCCACTACCTCACTCAGACATACCAGCACCCATTCCACTACGGACCAAGAGAACTGGACGCACAAGCTGACCCAGGCCACCGGTGCAGCCAGGCTTCTGAACCCGCCATGCCTAGACGCCCAGGGGCCAGAAAGCACAGCATTCATGCTTCCAAATAGCTAATACACAGCAATAAGATGCACGAAATGGAAGACAGTGGCATCCAGGAAGATGTAGGTAAAAGACCAGGGGGTTGGGGCTGGGGCTGGCAGGTGAAGGGAGGGCCCAGGAGTCCTGGCAGCTGGGAGCTGATGATGAGAGAGGGAAGGGACCTGGATATAGAAGGGAAGGGGTGTGGAAGGGAGCAGGGATATGGAAGGGAGCAGGGATGTGGAAGGGAGGGGCTGTGAAGGGAGCATGGATGTGGAAAGGAGGAGCTGTGAAGGGAGCAGGGATGTGGAAGGGAGGGGCTGTGAAGGGAACAGGGATGTGGAAGGAGCAGGGATGTGGAAGGGAGGGGCTGTGAGGGAAGCAGGGATATGGAAGGAAGCAGGGATGTGGAAGGGAGGAGGGATGTGGAAGGGAGGGGCTGTGAAGGGAGCAGGGATATGGAAGGGAGGGGCTGTGAAGGGAGCAGGGATATGGAAGGGAGGGGGGTGCAAAATATCCTTCGAAGGTTTGCCCCAGGCCAATCTTTAGTGGAGGCAGGCTTCAGACCCAGAAGTTCCTGGGCAGGGCCTCCCCCTCATTTACATGTGGGGAAATACAGGCCTAGAGGGGGGCAAGAGGGGCTTCCCAGGATCACCCAGGGGTTAGTGGCCAAGTCAGCACTAAGGTTTATGACTCTTGCATTATTATACTGCCAGTTCAAAAATGATTTTATGCATCGAGTAGCAGAAAATGGTCTGGGTTTGAATCTCAGCTCTCCCTCTTCCTTGCTGTGTGATGTTGGATCATTCACTTTCTCTCTGTGTTCAGTTTTCTCATCTGTAAAGTGGGGGTAAGAATAATTAAAGCCACCACAAGAGGCTGTTGGGAGGATTATACGGATCTAACACAGTAAGTTCCTAATAAATCTTAGCGATTATCTCAGGTAGCCAGGACCTCAGCAGACAGCCAGCTCTGCGAACACCTCCCAGCTGAGGTCAGAGGGAGAGTCAGGACAGGGTCCTCTGATCCCCAGCAGGGAAGCTCCTCAGACCCTCTCTAAGCCAGAGGAGGCTGGTGGCCTGCCCTGAACAGCTGTTGCAGGGTGATGGAAGCCAAGGGTCCTCTGCCCAGGGCAGGGTTCGGCAGGCCCGCACATCTGGGCTCCTGCAGGGCTCTATGGCGTGCTCCTATCCTGGGGGCCCACTCCTAGTGCCCCTCGGGGAGCTACGGGTCACTGAATGAAGTGCGCTCACGGGCTTTGGCCACGCGGTGGCGCTGGTGCTCAACCTCCTCGCCACCAGGGGCGGAGCTGCGGCGCTGGCCCAGCCACCGGGTGTGCTGATCGCCACTCAGTGTCTAACAGACATGCTCCTCCCAGAATCTTCCTCATCTTGGGAAGTAGCAACTCCATCCTTCCAGTGTCTTAGGTTACAAACCTCGGACTCACCCTTGGCTCCCTTTTTCCCAAATCCCCACACCTCTCACCTCCAACGTGTTAGCAAAATCTGTTGACTCTACTGCAGAATGCGCGTGGAATTCGACCACCTCTTCCCACCTCCACCTAGCCCACCCTGTCCCAGCCTATGTGTCCCAGCCGCGCCCCCTACCAGCCGTCTCCCTGCACACAGCCAGTCACAGAGGACATCACTTCCTCACCTCACCCGATAGCCAAGTCTGTCCCTTGACCTTCACTACCCCAGCTCTTTCTGACCTCAACACCCCAACTCTGGTCCTCAGGGGCTCTGCACCTGCTGATCCCTTTGCAGGAAGAGCCCTTCCCAGACGCCACATGGCTTCACACCAGCCTAACAGAGAGGCTCCCTCCCCACACTTCCCAGCCCCTCACTTAACAGTTTTTGCTTCATACTCATTGGCCCTGCCCAACATACATGTTCCTTACCAGCTCCCCTCCTTCTTCAAGAATGCAAGCGTGTGAGGACAGGAACTATGCTCTATTCACTGCAGAACCTCCAGCACCTAGAAGAGGGCCCGGAACAGGGCTGGTG